CCTGAAAAAGGAGAAGTTGTATGCAAAGTTCTCCAAGTGTGAATTTTGGATTCAAGAGGTCCAATTTTTAGGTCATGTGGTTAACCAAGAAGGGATAATGGTCGACCCAGCAAAGATTAAAGCGGTAATGAAGTGGGAACAACCAAAAAGTCCTACGGAGATTCGAAGCTTTTTAGGATTAGTTGGATATTACCGAAGGTTTATCCAAGGCTTTTCTTCGATTGTTACTCCATTAACAGCTTTGACCCACAAAGGAGCTACTTATGCTTGGAATGAGAAGCATAAGGAAGCCTTTGAGAAGTTGAATAAGAGATTATGTGAAGCACTGATTCTTTCATTGCCTGAAGGAGTTGATGACCTTGCAGTTTATAGCGATGCATCCGGAGTTGGGTTAGGTTGTTCTGACCCAAAGGGATAAAGTGATCGTGTAATCATCGATACAATTGAAGGAGCATGAAAACAACTACCCCACTCAAGATCTGGAGTTGGCAGCGGTAGTATTTGCCTTAAAGATATGGAGGCATTATCTTTATGGCACCAAGTGTAAACTTTTCACTGATCATAAGAGTCTCCAATATCTCTTTAATCAGAAGGAATTGAACATGAGGCAACGACGCTGGCTAGAGTTACTCAAGGACTACGACTGTGAGATACTTTACCATCCTAGTAAAGCAAATGTTGTTGCCGATGCTCTTAGTCGGAAGGTAAACCTTGAAAAGAAAAGGCTAAGAGCGTTGAGAATTGAAGTTGTCTCGATAATTGTGGAAAGTATAAAGAAAGCTCAAGAGGAAGCTTTAGAGAAAAATAACCGAAATGAAGAACGTTTGGGCAAAACGTTAGTGTTCGGTACAAACAACTAAGGGTTGAAGGTATTTCAAGATAGAATTTGGGTACCCAAGACGGGCGGAATAAGAGATCTTCTGATGGAACAAGCTCACAATACCATGTACTTAATTCATCCCGATAGTACGAAAATGTATAGGGATTTAAAACCCTATTATTGGTGGCCGACGATGAAGCTCGATGTTGCTAAGTATGTGGCCGAGTGTGTAACTTGTGCTAGGGTTAAGGCACAACATCAGAAACCGTATGGGATTTTAGAACCTTTACCCGTACCCATGGGTAAATGGGAAGACATCACCATGGATTTTGTGACTAAACTACCCAAAACAAGGAATGGTCACGACATGATTTGGGTGGTCGTTGATCGCTTCACTAAGAGTTCGCATTTCATAGCAGCCAAAGAGAAATGGTTTATGGATAAACTTGCGAATTCTTATGTGAAGGAAATTGTGAGGCTTCACGGTGTTCCATTAAGGATTGTGTCCTATCGTGATAGCCGTTTTACCTCAAGGTTTTGGAGGAGTCTACAAGAGGAATTGGGTACTAAGTTGTGTTTGAGTACAGCTTACCATCCGCAAACCGATGGTCAGAGCGAGCGAACGATTCAAACATTGGAGGATATGCTGAGAGCATGTACCCTAGAATTCCAAGGTAACTGGGATGAACACTTACCTTTAGTTGAATTCTCCTATAATAATAGTTTCCACTCAAGCATTAAGATGGCACCTTATCACGCTTTGTATGGGGAAAAGTGTCGAACGCCATCATGTTGGCTGGAAGCTGGGAAAAAGCAGTTTATGGGACCTAAAATAGTCCATCAGACTGCTAAAAAGTTGAAAGTGATAAGGGAAAGGATGTTAGCTGCTCAAGATCGACAAAAGAGTTATGCTGACAAGAAAAGACAACCGATAACTTTTGAAGTTGGAGATTCGGTTTTACTTAAAGTCTCGCCGTGGAAGGGACTTATAAGATTTGGGAAATGAGGAAACTTGAGTCCAAGGTTTATTGGACCGTTTAAAGTTCTTCAGAGAATCGGGAATCAAGCTTCCAAGCTAGAGTTACCGGAAGAACTGGAGGGTATTCATAACACCTTTCATGTGTGTTACTTGAGAAAGTTCACGGGATATGTGCCCGACATAATTCCGATTTCTGAGTTAAGGCTGGATGAAAACAAGAGGTTGATCGAAGAACCTGAGGCAATCGTTGACCGTAAGACTATGAAGTTGCGATGCAAGATGGTCGATTTAGTGCTTGTGCGTTGGAAACATACGAATGGACCAAATCTCACTTGGGAAACGGAGAGTGACATGATGAGTCGCTACCCGCAGTTGTTTGGAGATATGTGATTCCGAGGACGGAATCATCCTAAGGGGGAGAGAATTGTAACACTCGTGTTTCTAGCCTAGGCATTTATATTGAGTTGATAGTCTAGGTTAACCTTTGTAACTCATTTTGAAGAAATGAAAAGGAATTATGTGAAATATGTGTTTTATATTTAATTATTAGGGCTTAATTAATTAAGAATAAAAATAAGCGTCAAAATTAAAGTGTGAGATAAGCCCGATATCTTTACATAAAGTTGTAGTGGTCGAAACAAGGATTTTGGGGGTATAAAGAATCCCAAAATCCGAGTTATAACGAAGAAGTTATGACCTGTCGAAGTTTCGCGACAAAACCGACACGGTACTAAATGTCGTAAAAAGTGAGTTTTTGATAAACTAATTTTTAGCCTTAGTAATCTAAATTAAAGTCGTAGTATTCGTTAAACCGAGAAGTTTGATAAAAAGAATGCCCAAATCTGAATTCGTATGAGGAAGTTATGATTTTTCGAAGTTTCAGCGTAGCAGTAGACAGCTAAAAACTCGAATTTTAGATCGAGCGATTTTTAGCCGACACAACCTAAACGAGAATTGAAGGTCTCGTTATTAGGAGCACAACGGTAAAAAGTCTGACGAAAACGGACGTCCGATGAAGAAGTTATGAATTTTTAACAGATTTCCTGTCCCGGTATGTTAAAAATAATAATATAAAATTTAAAGTCAAAATTAACCGACGAAGTCTAAACGGAAGTTGTAGATCATAATCTTAGCTACGCGTGCAGATAAAGAACGTCAAAAATGGAGCTCGTATGCGAATGTGACACGTGTCCTCGCTTAGAATGTGACACGTGTCCTGCTGAGTCACCAGGCTGCTGAGTCACCGAGGCTGCTGAGTCATGCGAAGCCACGTGTCATCTTCTGATTCGACCGAGGAGGAGGCCCAATCCAAAGCTCCCAGCTTTCTTTCCGAGCCTCGCACCTAGCTCCGAGCCTCGCATAGCCTAACTCCTAACCTCGCAGGTGCGCCAGTAAGCCGCAGTCCACTTAGAAGCCGCCAGCGAGCCCTCGCATGTGCGAGCCATGTGCGAGCCACCCCCCTGCGAAGCCTCTTAGCCGTCAGATCAGGAGACTTCTCAGCCCTTGGATCAGAACTTCGGACCCTATAAATAGAAGGGTACCTGCGAGGGTTCCCGGTTACTTTTGGAATTTTGCCATTTTAGCCCCTCTCTTCATATTTTCTTCATCTTAGAATCCCCCAAAGCCCCGGTATCGATTGTAAAGCCCGGAATACCCCACGAAGTGCCCGAGAAGCCCGGAAAATTTATCTTTTCGGTTTCGAAGCCCGACTTTTGCAGAGTCCGGTTTCTCAATAAAACTCTCGGTTTTATTAGAAACGATCGTTTTAGGAAACGAATTGCTGCCCGATTTTCACCAAAATAAGTGAGTGTGTAGTTACTTTCAATTTACACATAGATATGAAGTATTTACCTTGAAATACGTGTTATATGTAAATATGCTAATTGTTTATTTGAGGTGACTGTTGAATTTATGTTTTATACAACTTTTAAAATGTATATGCTTTTTATCTACAAAATATGTTGGGTAGAACATAGGTAGATGAAATAGTTGATGTGTGTTAAAATGGTGAGAGGCCTCGATGTTGTTGTTGTTGTTGTTGTAGTCATCTAGCGAAGTATAGATGACGACCACGGACTTTCTAGATAGTCCAGTGGAACACTAGCAGGTTCACAACTTGTAGGTGTTGATGAATTAAATGTTCATTGGCGTACTTCATCCCCCTCATGGTTGCCTTAAGGACATGTATGGCTGAGGAAACCCCTTAGCAGTAGTGTCCATCCCGATGATATTCCTTAGGCTAGGTCCCTTGTGATAGGTGTTTAGGGACGTTAAGTGAGGACAATGGGAATGGGTAATCAGGGTTATTGTTGATTGGTGAACTTAATAATGATATTATTATTGTGGGTTGAAAACCCTATATGCTTACCAGGCTCCCAAGCCTGACCCACTCAGTTTTATGATTACAGGTAGTGGACCCCGAGCTTAATTGGAGGACGATGAGAGATTTTTGGATTATAGGCCAGTAGTTGTACATAACTATTGAAAGACTTATAATGTCTTGTTTATGCTTTTGATCTGTATCGGAACATGACATCCCGAGGTTTTGATATGAAATGAAACTATACATTTCTTAAAGAAGGTTTTGATAAACTTTAGTCATATTTTGTTTGGGGACCAATTCCGCAACATCTTTTAAAAATATTTCTCTGATTTTATTTTAAAATGCATAAATTAAATCGGTCTTTTATGGCCGAGAAATTAGGGGACGTCACACCTTGAGCCTACACTTTCAACAGTTCCTTTGTTGGCATGGCAGGTAGGTGGGACCCCTTTTGCTATTTTTAAAAAACAGTAACCTAACCAGTTCTGTTCTAACTAGTATTTTTTCCCTTTCTGTTGGAAGTAACTCCTCAACTATTTGCCCGGTTAAGCTCTCGCCCTGAAGAAGATGTTAGGAAACTGCTCGAGGGCATTTTGGTAATGCTGGCAAAACAATCTTCATGGTCGATAATTTATCCAACCCTCGTTGATATTAACACAAGTGAAGAGGATCATTTGATGAAGCTTACACGAATATTTTCATGTTTAGTATGTGCGCCATATTATGTATAATTTATGTGCTCTCTGACAATCTATTTGTTAGGATTTTATGATGACTAACCCAATATTAACCATTGTATATGCAGAACAAGCAATATCCAAGATTAGTCCAGGATGTCCAACTCATGATTAAAGAGCTAGAAACTCCACCATGAGTTGATGATCACTAACCCAATATCCACCTCACGTAAACCTGAAACACCTCATAAAATATGGTTCCACAATGAGTACATGGGACAAATCAAGTCAACCATTTCAAACTTCAAAACTCCACCATCTGCTTTCACACTAAGGGAAGTTTGGAGACCATTGTGTGGGAGTATGGGCGAGATAGTGTATATTTGGGTGGGGCGAACAAGTGGGGAAGATGATGATAACCTATGGCAGATTGTTGGTGATGACTTCATTGTTAGAAAAGGTCTGGAAACAAGCTCTATTGTTCAGGTAATCTGTTAATTTGAAAAAGCTTCTAGAAACCAGTTTGCTTGTATCTTCAAGTCCCTATTGCTTATAACATTTTGTATATGAATGATTATGATGAACAAATAGTGAAAGAAAATGAAAATAAATTGGATTGAACAAAGGATTTGATAATTCCGATTCCAGAGATGGTGGTTGACAGAAGACAAAAGTATCTTTTCATTAGGATTGAAATGCTTCAAACTTTTTTGCATCATTCTATTTTGCTTAGTGGGTGTGTTTGTTTTGCAGGTTTGGACTGTTACAGGGGGTAGTGATGGGATTGCAAATAATTTTAATGAGCTTGTTCATGATATGGCATTGGATAGAATCCATCTCTAATTTGAGTTGACCTCTTCAATGACTGAAGAATCCCTCTCTTCATTTTGATCCATCGCAGCTCCCTGTGACACACTTACAAATTCAGTTCATCTCTTTTCTTGGTAATATATATTTTCATATTTTTTAGAACTGATCATCTATTTTTATTGTGTTTCTTTTTTGAATTGGTTATAAGTTACCCTGTCTGAGTACATATAAATGGAAGGAAGATGTCCGAACCTGGATGTCATCCAGGTGTTTGTTGAAAGTCCCAAGTGAAATTTTTTTGTTATTTTAGACATCGTACAGTAGCTAAGTTCAATGGAAAATCTATTTTATCGAGTAAGTTTTATGAGTTTTTTGATGAAAGGTTTAGAGTTTGTTGATGACATAGCTAAGCTAATTATGTTCTCTTACTCTTCATCTTTATGAGTTTGTTTATAGGTTCTTATTTTCCCAGATCTTGACACCCACTAGAGAGATTATTATTAGAGATTAATTAGAAAATAAAGGATCATATCAAGATCACTTGAACTATACCCAACAGTGGATGTTATTCATAATTTTTTTGAAGGGTATGGAATCATGGTTGGAATAGATTGTCTAAAGTTTCCCGAAACATGGAAGATCAATGAGATTTCCATGATAAGTTTTCGGTTATGAAGATAAAAGATCATTGGTTTTTACATATATGTGATATGTTTATTTATTTGTATCCATATCTATTTTTGAGGCATTATTTATTTGTCAATCTTTTATCACAGAAGTTGCATCAAAGAGAGCCTTAGTACTTGATGGATCTGATATGTGCACAACCATAAACTAATATTTACTAATTATTTATAAAAGGTTAACATAAACTTATTTCTTGTTATAGAGGTGGATTGTCTCTGAATATTCAACCATACAAGGTAACTAGAGATAAAAAAGTTTCCAACTTTGTCCCTGCAATGTTGGAAGGCTACAATAGATGAAGGCATTGAACTGTTGAATTTTTAAATTTTTGTTACAATAGATGAAGGCAATTAGCATTGAGGTAAGTTTTCTAAATTCAATTCGGTAAAAAAAAAACTATTTTTTCTGCCATTCGTGGAACAAATTGGAACATGGTCACATCCCTTCATCCCTGTTAGTTATTTCCTACGATGCAGTTGGTAGAAGTTAAGAAAATTACAAGCATAATCAGTTTGTGGATGTGGGTTATTTAATGGGTGTATGATGTTGGTTGAAGTAATAAAAAATATCACAAAAAGTTTCAATTATCTATTGCACTAGATGCCAATTGTCAGCATAATAGTTTGATAAAATATTACTTAGTTAAAAAATTTAATTGCCTGTTTATAGAAAAAAATGTTATAATATGCATTTTTCTAATGATATATAGGTTGGAAATTTAGGCCACACGCCTTTACTACTTTACACTTGTTTAAGCATTTAAAGAGACTTTTCTTTGTTTTTTGTGTTTAATATCATGGTTTTGACGTGTTGATCTATACAATCATTCTGAAGCCTCATTACCGTATAATGATGTGTATTTTTATTTTTTGATTTATGGGTATTGAGATGGATATTGGTTTTAGTTAATTTTTTTAAACTCAGGGGCTGGACTTGCCTCATGGAGGACACTTGTCTCATATATTCAGGACACCAAAAAGATGGGTTTCAGGAACATCCAATATATTTTGAATCTACGCCTTATCGTCTTGATGAATCTACAGGTGTTCTTTCTTTTTTTGTTTCCAACAAAATATAATATTTTTATATTAATATAATATTGATTTTTTTCTTTCCTTGATAATAATGACATGTATGATTGTTGCACTTGAAAAGAATGCAGCTGCTGTTGGTGATTTTCTGATGATGGATATGGCTTATGCCTCATAGTAGTGGACTTGTTGCAGCTTCTGTGGTTGGGAATCCTTTTGATTATGGTGATATTGTCATTATTAATTTATAAATCGTTAATTCTAATGTCCGCATACTCATAGAAAGGTGTGTGCAGGTATGATATGTAGCATTTTGGGACGAAACGACCCTTGAAGCACAAGAAGCTCATGGACATGTATTTATAGAGGATGGTTTTATTGGGAAGTGGAAAATTGTGATTGTTAGAACTCCCTTTGGAGATCAAAGATTGAATGGAAAATCTTAAAGGTAAACAAGTTGTTTCTTATTTACTTAACGAAAATGTACCCTATTTAATTGATTATGGTAGGCAATAATCAATCTACAAGACACTCATCATGTTTTATATCAAATAAACTTCCAATACTTTCCATATATATCATAATATAATGTGTTTTTAAGAATGGTTAGTCGAATAGAAAACTAAATAACTTGAAAAATAAAAAAGAGATAGCTAATTACCTATCTAACACTTTAAATTAAACAGAAAAATGTAATTAACTTAAAGTTCCAACTAAATATTTAATATTTGTAAACTCATATATAATGCTGTATAGACGCTATCTTATAAACTAGAGAAAACAATCTCCACCATAATGTCTCTAAAGCATAGAACCATGTTTACCAGGAAATTCACATGAGGTGCTAGTTGAATTGGAGGGTATGGTAGGTGGTGGAAAGGTACTACTAGAGGTAAGTTTTTGTGATTAAAAACATTAAATACAATTGGTCATGGAAGCTCAATAAGTCAACAAACTACCTACTTATACCAAAAAAAAACTGACCTAACTGATCTAATTGTAAAAAGACATCATCGCCCTCACTAACTAGATCTACTTAAGCCATGCATGAAAGGACTGGACTACTTGAAAGTGTAAAAGGGACACTCTAGAAAGAAAGTTGCTTTTAGTTGAATTAGGATTTGAACCGGTTTAGTTGAAAGTTGCAGCCTCGTGTACATTTCAAATTTTAGTTGATTCTTCTATTTATTATATTAGCATATTAATTTTTAGACTTTTATTTGATCAGGTCACAAGAACTATCGGAGCAGGGGTTCATTAGTCTTAAAGATTTATGAAAGGCAAGATGCAACTCTACTTACTTGGAATTTGATGTTTATCATCTTTGTGTAGCATTACTTTGCAGCAATATAGTATTCGGTTATATAGTTAGGGAAAACCTCTTAGTAACAATGTACAATTAGATCCCATTAATATAAATGTATTACAATTTTTTGACAAGATGTTATTGGATGAAATTGATTGCTTTAGTATATATTTGTTTACAAGACTTTGTATTATACGTCAATGAGTATCGTAAAGACGCATCGTAAATGCAAATCAAAATTGGTTACTGAAGTTTATGACACGCAAATGCGTGTCATCTTCATTTATGATAGGGGCTTCCTTGATACACATTGTGTGTCATAAACACGCGCGTCGTAAGGTTACGACACGCAAATGTGTGTCGTCTTCCTTTATGACCGGGCCTTCCTTGATACGCATTGCGTGTCATAATTGTGTGTCGTAAATGCGTGTCGTAAATGTGCATCGTCTCTCTTTATGACAGGGCATTTCTTGACGCACATTTGCGCATCGTCTGAGAGTTTTACGACGCGCAATGAGCGTCGTAAAAGGCTATTTTTCTAGTAGTGAGGGATGTAAGAAATGTATAGTAGACGTACTACTTAAGATAATTAGAGGATGATCCTTATCAGTTACTTCAATACTTGCGTAGTGCATACAAGTCATATGTAACCAAGATAGAATAGACCTTTGAATAAGTGACCCTAACTCTAAATCCACAACCAAACAAGGAACAGGAAGTAAAGCAAAGATCATAGATTCTAAGTCTATGACACCCTAGTCACATGTAACCCTAATGTATCCACTCAGCAACTATTGACCTACTATTAAAGACCTTTTAGTTCTCAAATAAGTAATTAAAGTAACATAAAATACTCCTATAGTATTTTTAAGTTTAAGTTTTGTTCTAAAGTTTTCATTGTAGTAGTGTTGGTAAGTTTTTAGACTTGCTGCAATACCACGACCATTCCTAGGCACATGCTAATAACTTTTTGAAAAGATATAGTTGATCAGACTATATCACTCCTAGATCTGATCATATTTCCCCAAGACTACTTGTGCTTTCCAGCAACCGTAATACTTTTGTTTTGTTCTAGTATGACACTGATCCCAGTATGACTGCTTGTATGTATACTTTAGTTAAATATTTTATTATTTAAAAGTATAAACTCTTGGTAAAAGTATTTTTAATCTCAATGTGTTTATAGTTGTATATCTTTTATGGGTTGATATACTCAATTCACTATAAACAAAGCTCTGATACCAATCTGTCATACCCCCAAACCGGAACGGCGGAAGCGTTCTGGGGCGGAGGACGTCATGTACAGTATCATAACAACGCACAATAGTAAACAAGCAACAACATCATCCATCGTATTAATAGTATAATTTATACAAGTGTCTTCTTATATATATATATATATATATATCAAAAATTAAAGACGAAGCTTGAATACACACCGTCTTCTCAAAACCTGGTCCAGTGTACCTGTCCATTGGTGACCTGAGAATACAAGTTATTTTGAAAGAGTAGATCAACATTAAAGCTGGTGAGTTCATAAGTATTTTTGTGTCAAATGTTTGTATAAGTTTCAAGAAAATGTTTGTAAGTGTTTGATGTAAAGCTTGTACATGTTTGACGTAAAGTTTGTAATTGTCTGATGTAAAGTTTGTAAATGTTTGTTGTAAAGTTTGTAAATGTTTGAATACTTCCTAGAAAATCCTATATTTTCAACTAAAATGGAGAGTAGTCTTCTACCAAGACTCGACTGTTCTGTATGTTTTTTCTTTTGTAAAAGTGAGTATTTTCCCAAATATATGCTATTATTACCAGAAAATAGTTTACATTACCTTTTTATGTGAGAAGATCACTATATGAATGTAATGGGAAAATGATAATGTACATTAATGTTGGAATAAGTAACTACTGAAACACTAACGACCTTAAAACCAATTTGTTAGTTAAGGTTCAAATGTGATGTGGTTATAGCCATACTGATTGAAAAGTGTTTAACACGACGACCTACTGGA